TGTGGCTTCTCCATCAAGAATATCGAAGAGGCTGGGCCTAGATGGCTGATAAGCCGAGGCGGGCCAATTCGCACAGGAGGGTGGTAGCTTGATGCAGTGCATCGGGAGCTAGCGCTGACTGACATCATGGAAAACAGCGGTTAACGTGACGCTGCATCCATCAGCCCATGTCGAATCCTTTCCACAAGTGTCCGCTCGAATCAGTGCCGCCGCAAGGCCTGGTGAGAACAGGGAAAGGACGGGAGACCGGCCGGACCTTGTTGCAGCTCGATGATATCGACTGGGATGGCACGGATCACTCCGTCTCATGATTAAAGCCGGCAGAAGGAGAGTACTCCTTGAGCCAATGAGAACAAAGCTGTCGCCTGTCAGAAGTGCCGCTTATGCAGTAACGTTCGCAAGTGAAGGCTCGGCTGGAGAAATAGCGATTTCAAAGCAGGACGAGAAGGTCTAGTCCTTCACTCCCAAATTGCGAAACCTGTGGCACTGCGGCATCTTGGGCGCGTACTCGTGTTCGGCACAATGCTTGCCTGGAGCCCACTCATGATATACCCCGGGAAACAGATGTCGGATAGACACCCAAGCTGCACCGCGACCCTCAAGGGATGCGGGAAGCAAGGTCGAGGGGGCCTGGAGATCTTCCAACCGGGTGGGTGACTGGAGCGCGCATCGCCAGCATCAAGATCTTATCGCACAATCTGATAGATATTCCTGCATCGCTTCTTTGAATGTGACTGATTTCTGCCGATAGAGTTGCAATAAGTAAATGCAGGCCTAGGCCCATCACAGCTGCCTAGCCTATTCCACACGACAGCTGCCGCGAGCGGAGAAAACTTGATATTGTAAAAATGCTCGATGTGATGGGGCTCACCTGCCGATCGCTCCCCGGTCAGTCAATAAGCAGAGAACCTTCGGTAGATGAACCATCGGGGCCTGCGACCGCGCTTCGCATATCATGGTAGCTTTATTTGACGTTATTTCCACGCGCGAAATCACGAATCGGGAATACGCGGTAGTGGTAGCGGTGGTGTGCAGCATCATCCAGTGTGCAATGCTGGCGGTGGGCGAGAGACTTGCGGGACGAGTCGGATCCATGTACGGTAGCGTCGCGCACCTTGTCCCTTGTGATCGTCGACCGTTGGTGCCCAGGCATGTATCCCTGCTTCCCGCGAGCGGACAACGGTGTGCAAAATGTGGTTGGCCAAAACGATGGCCTGTCAACCAAATAACCGTACGCGAAGGCAACAACCATGACGCCCTCGCGATATTGGGCGTGATAGAGCTTTCTTGTTCAACGGTCATCATGGAAGCGACACCATGAACGGAGTTGGAGGCTGTTGTAGAACCTGGCGGCGGGCGACGCGCGAGAATGTCGACGAGCCACCCCAGCTGACCTTGGCCGTCATGCACGTCGCCGTCAGCCGTGTTTGCACCACGTTGCGGAGACACACAGCTAATCATTACATATGGGTGGAGTGAGAAGAGCAACCCGATGTAACACGGCATCGTTTTCGCTGACAAGATCGACATGGCTATGTCCACATCTTGTGCAACTAGTGCAAGCGTGGCTCATCGTCAAAGCGTGAAGAGGCGCCGCCTGAGGGTGTTCAGGAGCAGTTCGGCTTGCACAAAGTTGGCAGTGAAGATTTCGAATTGCCAAATCCGCCGTCGATGCGCATGCTGACGGGGAGAGACTGAATGCGCGCGCCCTTGTGCGCCGCGAGGTGGGCGACGAAGGTAGTCAGCAAGTGTTGTGTTGTATCGAAATGTAGCGGGCGGCGTCAGAATAGAGTTGATGGTCGCTCGGTACCTGACCTATCTCCCTTGTCGTGAACAAGGCCAGCAAGCGTGCTCCCAGGGTGTCTCCGCACTGCGAACGCCTCGCTCGGAACTTTTACAAGCACAGGTCCCATGCTCACGATCGTGACAGGGAGGGTAATGCTCACAACATGGAACGGCGCGCTGTTTCCAACGCGATCTTCTCGAAGCCTGGCAGAGAGACATGCCGAACAGAACAGGAGTATTTGTGTTGGTCGCGTCTCGTGTTTCAGTGCGCATGTGATACTTGAGGACAAGCGCGCAGAAGCAGGCTTGAGACGTCCGAGAAGGGCACGGCATTACAGCATTGAATTGACGCCGGAAGCGATGGAGCAAATGCACCGAGACGGCTGCAGACGTGTATTGCTATCGCGATGGGCCAAGCGGCTATTCGCCCGGATGTTGTAGCGGAGTTTATCGACGCGTGTTGCTCGCGTTGAGCATGAGGGCAATTTTACTGGGAATAGCCACAGCAGCAATTGGATGGCAGGGCTGACTGGCGCATTGAAGGCGGTCCTGCCACGATGCGGCCCCTGAAGCAGCAGTTTGCTCGGTGGCATGGCTCCGCAGAGGTTGCGAACCCGACGTCCCAGGGCCGATCAGCGGCGATTTGAGCAGGCAGCCCATGACCCGTTTCCCGAGAAGCATCTCCGTGTGGCAGCATCAGGCATGGCGGTGCCGATCAGGCCTCGATGGCGATTGGAGGCTGCGGGCGTGCATCGGCCAGTCACAGCGGGCGACGTTGGGGGCACAAAGAGACATGCTGGTGAGCCGTTTTGGGCGTCTGCTCACCGGCGCCACGGGCCAATGGCGTGCGAGACGGCGGGGCGCTGGGCTGGGTGGTGCAACTGCTAAAACGGTCGACTAGCGGCGGTGAATTGGACTCGAAGGACGCGTCAGAGCAGCGGCGGGCGGAGCACCGTGTGCCCTGGGCGAGATGAAATGGCAGAAGCAGCAGGTGGCATCGTGTGCGAGCTATAGCAGGCCGGATTAAGACGCCAGGTGCGCCATGGGTGCGAGGGAGGTACCGCGGGGTCGCGACTGCCATGTCGAGGATTTAGCCGAGCGAGGCAGGGGCGACGAGCATGCGACGGGCAGGCGCGATGGGCGATGACGGCAGCTGCTATCAGTCTCACGTCGCGAAGGAACCGCTAGCTCGTCCTCGAGTGCTGTCTTTTCGATTGCTCTGGGCAGCAAGCCCCCACACGCCGAAAACCTGACCGTCACGTGCTCCACCGGACGCGACAGCGGGCAGCAAGACGACGCGCCTTTCGATCAAACAGCAGCTTCATCCTCGCAGCAGCACCCACCCTCCGCGACGACATCGCCATCGACCAGGGCTATTCCGCCGGCGATCCCTGATCCCGGCCCCTTCGCATCCGCGGCTTGGGCGCTCGAAACAGCTGCTCCGTCCGAGCGTGCAGCAGAGCAGGGAGGTGGCTGTTCCAGGTTGATTTAACGACCGACTCCACCCTCGGCCCTCCCACCGCCTTTGCAGACTCTCCTCGCTGCCTTTCCCTAGACGTCGCTAGCGCCACCTGCTCTGCGCGTGAAATTGCGCAGGCCACGCTACTGCATCGCTCCCCAACCCTCGTCCACCGCTGCGCCCGGACCCTCGCAGCCCGGATCCTTCGACGTCTACCACCGCGCAATAATAACAATGTCGCAGCCAAAAATCCCAGATAGGGCCCGCAAGTATAAGGAAGACCCGGCGCCTGTAGCGTCGCAAAAGATGGTGAGTTGCCTCTGCTTCCTTGCACCCCCTACCACGCACGCTCGACCACCTGCATCATCCCATACACTCGCTACCCTCCGCTCGCTCCCATCTTGATCGGCCCTGCCGCACCCTCGACCGTTGGAGTTTCGTCGTGCGCGTCGCAGAACCCTTCCCTAAACCCGTCACCGCCGCTGGTAGCTTCACCCTCGCGCTTTTTGCATGCTGCAGCAGCCACTGCACGTCGCGGCCACACACAACGAGTTACCCCAGCTCCGGCGCGTCTCTGCCTACATGGTATGCCCTTCCCGCCAAGCAGCCCTGCTACCCAAAACCCGCCTCCCCTGTCGCACTTGCCAAAGCTTTCCTTGTCTCCTCTGAAGCCAGTCCAAGCCTCTTGTCACGCAGCCTACCAGCAGCGGAATCCCTGCCATCCTAGCAGCCTTCCGCTCCCACCGCTGGTCCGCTCTGTGTTGTCAACGTTGCGAAGTCCCGCCCTGCTTTCTTTAGTCTGCCCTTCCCATCCTATAAACTATACCCTACCGTCCTGTCTTTTTCCAGACCCTGCCCCTCGCCTACCACGCTGCTGCTGCACATCGGTCGCTACACCCTAGCCGCCCAGCCAACCACAGCGACCCGCACCCCCACCTCTCACCTTGCTTGCACCCCCAGCCCCGATCACCACCACAGCACCGAGAGTCGACGCTTGCTTTTTATCTTTTGTTTGCCCCCAGCAGCCTTACTGACTGGCTGTCTTCTTAGCATCATCCCCACTCGGCTCAGGGCTTGCCACCGCCTAGTCACCTTCCTGTTCACCACCCTAGGCCTGGTGTAGTCCATCAACAACATCAACACCAGCACCATCCCGACTCTCCCCACCAGTCGGTGCCTTCTCAGAGTCCTGCACAGGGCCACTACCCATCACCACAACACCCAAACCCTCAGGGCCCGCCGCAGCACCAATCACCCTACATTCAGCAGATCCAAGGCCCCCCACCGCCGCAACAGCAGCAAGAGGTTCCCTACTACTCCCAGCACCACCAGAGCCCCTACAGCACCAACAGTGCGCCGAGTAACTACTCCTCCTCAGGTATGTTTTGTTTTTGTGTACACAAATCACCACGCGTTTGTCCATGCGCCCAGCGCATTAATTACGCCTCGACTTGGATGCCCCCGTCGTATATCCCCCCGGCGCAAAATGGAATTCTAACAATTCGCAGAAACCCCAGAGCTCATGGCGGCCGCAACAATGAACAGGGGCGGATATCCTCCGATCTCATACCACACCCCGCAGTCAAACTCACCAGCATCTGTTCAGTCTCCACAGCACGACCAGCACGGCCGGCCAATCTATGGACAACCGCCCAGCCAGATGCCTCAATCAATGTACTACACACCCTATGCTTCGGCGCCAGTTCCCCAACAGTCACCCTACCAGCAGCATCCTTCAAGCGCGCCACAGCAACCAATGGCGACGCAATCGCTGCTCATGTCCCACCAGCAAAACCAGCAGATGCAGCATCAGCAACAGCAACAACATCAGCAGCATCATCCCCAAACTCCTGGAATGACCGGAAGCCCCAAGTCGCGCATGTCGCAGACGCCACTTCAACGGCCACCGTCAGGACTCGGCCCGCCTCAAGCTCCGCCTCAAGGCCCTCCCGTCGGCACCCCCAACATGCACGCTGGCCCTCCCGGAGGACCCAATGTCAACCCTAATGCCGCGCCTGGTCCCATTCCTGCCACCACTCCCCTTGTTGTGCGACAAGACCAGAATGGTGTGCAATGGATCGCGTTTGAGTACTCTCGCGACAGGGTCAAGATGGAGTACACCATCCGCTGCGATGTCGAGTCTATCAATGTTGACGAGCTGCCGCAAGACTTCAAGACCGAGAACTGTGTATACCCTCGCGCTTGCTGCGCCAAGGATCAATACAAGGGCAACCGTCTTCACTACGAGACTGAATGCAACACCGTCGGGTGGGCTCTAGCGCAGTTGAACCCTTGCCTGCGCGGAAAGCGTGGTCTCATCCAGCGTGCCGTCGACAGCTGGAGGAACAGTAACCAAGACCCCCGACTAAGGAGCCGACGTGTGCGCAGAATGGCCAAGATGACCACAAGGAAAGCCCAATCGGCTAACCATGGTAACCACATGGCTGGACCAGGTGGACCAGGTGCTCCTGGCGTTCCCAACTCTGCCGGATTAGCAGCACCGCCCCGACAACCGAACATGGGCATGGGCGGCCCTCAGATGCACCATCACCATGATGGACCTGGAGGGCCCCACGGAGGACCAGATGACGTTAGCGGTATGTTTCACCAGATGTGATGTGATAAGGCGCGATTGTTGTTGGCTGTTAAATGATACCTCTGTCGTTCTTTCTCCATGTACATTACATACTCCTTGATGTAATACCCCTTCGATACCACTGCCCCATGCATGCTTGCATATATACCCACCCCATAGTTGCACATGTTTTTGGTTCAGCAGCGCAGGACGGGAAGTAGAGACATGTTTGGACGTGCAAGCTAACTCTCTTTGTGTACAGCCAATGAATACGGTGAATCACACACTCACCATCACCAAGCGCCAAACGGTCAATCATCATCACCTACCGACGGGCGGCCCGCTCAGAGCTTCTACCCGAATTACCCATCGAGCGACTCCGTCGCAGGGTCCAGCGGCATGCCGCCGATCCACGACAGCCTGAGCCACCCTCCGCCTCCATCGCACGCAGCGGGTGTGCCCGTTTCAAAGCAGCAAGAGCAAGACGAAGAAGAGCGAAAGCTAGCCATGTTTGGCGACTTACCTGACTCGAAGCGCCGCAAATTCATCCTTGTAGATGATGCGCAACGAGGAACTAGGGTTCGCGTGCGAGTTACTCTCGACACGGTCAAGATGGAGGAGATGCCTGATTCTTACCGCAAGTCCAACTCGGTATTCCCCCGTAGCTATTTCGCCATGCAAATGACCTCTCCACCTGCCAGCCCTCGTGGCAGCAAGGTCTTTGCTGACGAGCCCGATGTTGAGAGCGACCCGAGCTTCCCTCTGGCTGGCTCTACTGTTGTGCCTGTTCCAACGCTGGATGGCGAGACTCGTGTGCCGAAGCCGCGTCTTACTCGTGCGAAGCGGTCGAAGGAGATTACGCTGAACGATCTTGGTTACCGCATGAGCTGGAGCCAGAGTCGTGTTTTCGCAGGAAGGACATTGTTTCTGCAAAAGTCTCGTAAGTCAATGGCTCGGTACGAAGAAGAACGTTTTACTAACCTTATCAACAGTTGATGCCTACCGCAACAAGATGAGAAGTAGCATGATGGGCCAAGGTCAAGATGTGACCCAAGTAGCCCCACATTTCGAGACTCGTGTTGGAAAGAGACGGTGGAACGAGAGAATCGAGAAGAGCAAGAAGGCGAGGCGCGATGGCTCTCCTTAAGAAGTCTCAGGCCACATGCTCCAAACGGATGCCCTGGTTGCAGGCAGCCGCCCCGTTGACCCACTTTCTCGGCACTTGCAGGGAGCCCCTACGAACGACCGGGGTTGACAACCCTTTTCGACTCGGCACCAAATCCTTCGCGACAGGCCCGGCTGTTGCTTACACCCATGTTTCATCGTGGCTGTATTGGGTTTCAGACTGGTCGTTCATCTGCCGATGACTGCTTCTCTCTCTTTTCGATACTTCTCGGCCACCCACCACCGTCTTGATACCCGTCGGCAAGTTATGATCTCTTGCGACATACTCGGTCGGTTTTCGGTCTGTTCTTTCCTGTCTGTTTATAGCGTGTTGAGCGATCATCCCTTGTGCGAATGGACTTTGGCGTCTGCGGTAAAAAGAGACAAGGAAGCATCTAAAAGCATGACTCAGGACGCTGTCTATGGCATGAGGAAGGAGTCTTGTCGGCTATGATTGCGTCTTCGGATATGTTTATATTGCGCATGTTTTGTGAGTATTCGGTAGATGGGCTAGTTGTTGCTACCCTGGACATATAATAGACATTTCAAAAACAAACATGCAGTCTGACATTAAGTGATTACTTGCGAGTGTTTACAGCCCGGCAAAAGTCCAGAGTAAATTGCCCTCCCCCAAACCTTGGAAGAGGCGTTTTGTGTATCATCGAAAGAGACCCGGAGGATGCATCCCAGATGCAGCCAGCTGACCAGTTCGCCCGCAATCCTCCAAAGCACCGAACGAGAAGAGAACCCACACGAACCGCTCAGTAGCCACTCACGATTACTCACAGCGGTACGGCACGCAAGCCTTTCCATGCATGCTCGACGTGATATTGTCCGAGACAAATAAATCACGTCGATAGTCGTTCGGTCGACCTACTCTCCCCTAGGGACATCCCTCCCCCATACGTTCGCAAAGCGGAAGGCGGACAGGTGACAGGCCGGGAGAGCCTGGTCTCGCGTGGCTGAATACCACTCATGTCTACGCGTTGCGTGCCTGGTGCCTGACTACCCAGCTCAGGCACACAAGGATGATTTGCTTTTCAGGGTGGGTAAGGTGTGGGTAGTAAGGGGCGAGGGGGGGCGCACCGCACGCAACAGGGCAGGGTATCAAAGAAGGCCAGGCACACGACTGCAACGCAATGCAATGTTGTGCGACGCGACGCGACCCGACGGTTGTTGGGGTGTGTGCCACTGTGTGGGCAGAACAGGCTGATTGCGGTTTAGACACGATTGCCGGAACGGCTGGCCGTTGGAGACCGAAATTACCCATGCATGCATGTGGCATGTGGCACGCGAGACGAGGTACGCGCGGAAAGGACCCCAACCAACTGCTGCCAACCCCCCCGAAGGCGTCGAAAACGGTAAAACTGTTACGAACCTAGGAGTAGTCGGAAAAGGCCCCCCTCCCTCCCTCCCTCCCTCCGTCTGCCAAAGCAACGTAAGAAAAACTCTCCGAAGTTGCAGCGATGGTGCTTGGAGGGCATGTCACACTGGGCGGGATATGCCTAGTTGGCTTGTCAAAACTAAACCAGAGATGGGCTGACATATCGTTCGCTTTTCGCGCTGACGGCAGTTCCAAGGCTCTTGGTATACTCGTGTGTGAAACAGATGCTTTTCTCCGTCTGCGCACTCTACCTGCAACAATTTTCCTTCTAACCAACGCCTTCTGTCCCGTCTCGCAGTATCCCAGATCAATCCTCCGCAATGCCACTCCTGCAACTACTCGGAGTACGCAACCCACATCAAAGACTCTCGTCATCCCATCCACTCGCGGCCGCCCCGATGCTAATACTAAGAAGAACCGAACTCCCAAGACCTTCTCCACTGCAAGTCTGCAACCTAGAAAAGCGAACTAACTAATCCAAACCAACTACGTCGCTAGCTAGTAGCTACTCCACTTTCCAAAAAAACTCCGGGCACCCAAAGCCAGCCAGTCACGAGTTGGTAACGCCCACTTTCCGGCACTAAAAACAGCTAACCCGACGTTAACGTTAATCTTCGGCGCGACTTGCCAAACCGTTGAAGTATTAGCACCGCGACCGTTTTTCCTGCGTCGTGGATGCTCGTTTCCCCGTCTTGGCTCTCGTGTGCAGGATGGTTGACTGAGCTCGTCCTCTTTTAGATGCACGGAGCGCCGTTGATTGAATGAGGCTGACTGGCTGGTCGCGTGAGCTAATGAGCTAGTATCTAGGTATTTTAGCCATTGCGGGGCAAAAAGCTTTGCCTTTCCTATTGACACTGCTAGGGCGTCTACTACTACTGTAGATGAGACTTTTCGACGCGTCGAGATCCAGGTTCTAGGAAGGCGTTTGGGCGGTTGCTGTCATGCGCTTAGGAGAGTGGGGTTGCAGGTGCGTGAACGGGGACCGAACTAGTGTGTCTGGCCGATTCGGTGCTTTGATAAGCTGCAGCGCATCGTCATCTCCCTGTTTGCAGTCTGTGGTGATCTGGATGCTTTGACTGTGAGTAAGCAGTGGATGGGGTGGCTAGCCGGGGGCTGTTCGTTTTGCCTTCTCGCAGAGACATTTGACGTGTTCGATAGGCTAAAGCGTGATACCATTTGAGACTGTGTACCAGCTTCTCGTCACCACTAGCTAAGTAAAAACTGCATAGAGTTTCGAAGAACGATAGAAGTGTAGCTAGTGCGAAGCATATCGCGATTTCATGGGAGTAGACGAAGATAAAGATACTTCGATACTGCCTACTCTGCAAGGAACATCTCCAGAGCCGAACCCTCCGGCGACATGGTAGTCTCATTCGAGGTACATCGTACAAGGCGTAGCTTTCAGTTAATCCCCATGGCTCCAGTCCCATGCTTCTCACCTCATAGTCTTTCTCGCGCGCCTCCCACTCTGCCCGGCCATACCCTGGGCATGCTCCGGCATCTCAACTGCGGTCACTACACGTGCGCGACTGCCACCGTCTGTCCCTCTTGATCTCGTAAGCCTTTCCTGCTCTTGCGTCAGTCTCAGTCTTTCCCGATCCGCCTCATGCACAATAACGCCGTCGATGACGCTGTACTTACTGATGTCCGGGTCATCGTAATCGTTGTCTTCGTCGTCTTCCACTATGGGTCGAGCAGCGCGGGACTTGGCAAGATACCTGTCGCCATTGGAGCGAGACTCTGTCCATGAAATCAATCCAGCGCCGTGTTTTGGGGATGCGATTTCGGAGTCTGAAACGTCGGCCAGCATTTCTACGTCCTCTGCAGCGTTGCCAGCGATGCTAGGCGCTGGAGTGATGGACATGGCCCGCATGCCACCTCTGACTTGCTCGAAAATCCCAGCTTGAGCTGTTGCTTCCTCACGCTGGTTCGCTTCTTCGATAGCAATGCTGGTCCGAGTTTCTAATTCGGCTTCGCTAAGTTGGGTGATCTTTGCAGACGCGTCAAGTTTGGCCTTTCGAGGTGAGCGCGATACTGTTGCTCCTTGAGTCTTTAACGTGACGTTTTTAAACCTCTGAGACGCAGGTGTCGGTGTAGATGGTGTCGTCGGCTGAGGCTTTCTGTTGGGCACACGCGGTGGGGTGGTCGGTAATGCCGCATCAGTTTGGTTGTTAACCTTGGGTTTCGATTTCTGCAAGCTCGTGAAGCCAAAGCCATTTTTTCCCCTGTTGTACACACCCTTTGATGCTAAAGCTGGTGGTAGTGGCGGAGGAAGTTTTGCCTTCTTGGTCGCCGGCCTAGATGTCTGCTTCTTCACAGGCTCAGGAGCATCGTCCATCATGACAGGCGAACTAGGCTCCTCATCATCAGACGGCGGGGCATAGTCACTCTCCTCATCGCTGCTGAGATCCACCACCTTCCGCTTGCCTCTGCCTGAACGCGAGGAAAAAGAGGTATGCGATACGACTGACGCATCGCGTTGACTTTGCGAAACACTCGGGGCGCGATTAGTAGGCGTAGAAGTAGATACCTGCGACGCAGCCCGAACTCCCCTAGCAACCGCAACACTGTCTTTGGTGGCACTGGCTGGGAGGAATGGCCTTCTGAAGTTGGGGGTCTTAGGAGTGGTAGGGGTAAGCGGCTCTGCGGTTGGGGTGCGAGGGCTCTCTTGAGTGGCTACGAGACTAGTATCTTGTGGTGATGGAAGCATATTTGGAGTGTGCTGCTGTGGTCTTGTTGGAGCTATTTACATGTTAGTTCAGTCACTGTAAGATCGAAGATAGCAAGCTTACTACGCGGAGCTTCATACATCATCGTGTCCATACCATTCGAACCCGATTTACGAAGGTCGCTCTCCACGCTTTTGATTGCATGATCCGGGACAGAATCAGGACCGAACCTGTCTCTACGTCCAAGGTCTTGTGAAGACTCGATTGAGCCATTCAAATAGTAAGCATGGCCTTCCTTTCGCAAAACTGCTTGGTCGGCCCGCGGAAGGCCATGGAAAGCTGTTTCCCGAAACATCAATGATTGGCCTACTTGGTGACCCCCACTTTGTCGCGGTTGCAACTTGTCTGGCTGGTGGTCTTGAGAGAGCCTCGAAGGAGCAAAACCGCTCGTCGGCTGTATGCCCTGTGAAGCAGAAATCGTTGGGGTAGCCCATGGAGAGGAAGTCGATAATGGTCTACCTCCAACATTGAACGTTGTTTCCCGACGAGTATCTGGCATGCGAGGCACATTCGCCCAGTTGCCAAAACCCACGCCCCCGACCAGGTTCGGCTGTGTACTGAGAACAGCTGCCGGCGCATGCTGAGAGGCGACGGAGTTCGAGACGTGCACACCGGGAGTGTTACTGTTACTTGCACATAGCGCGGGCGGTTGTATAAGTGGGTGTTGGGGTTGCTGAGGAAAGACACTATGTCCACGCTTCAACTGCTCTGGCTTTGGTGTATTCTATATAAGTTAGTCTTAGGACAATAATGTTTTTAGGATTTGCCGACTTACCGCATTTTCGATCTTGCCAGACAAGCCGGGAGGGTCTTTCGCGATAGGTTTTTGCCCGACTATCTGCAAAGCAGGTTTCTCCTTGAGTAATACTGGTTCATCGTCATCCTCGTCGGAACAAAGATCAATGATCGTGACAGCGGCCTTCTTGTTCCTGAGTCCTGCTACCGGTGTGGTTGTGTTGCTCGCTGGCTTGGATATGAACGGTGCTTTGGCTCTGGGCGCCGGCGTCTTCTTGATGGTGGGAGCAGCTCTCAGTGGTGCAGCAGCTGAACGACGATCCGCCTGACTCTGGACACCCGTCTCAGACCCGACAGCCGTGTTACCAACCTTTTTCTTCTCCCTATTTGCTGCCGCCTTTGCCTTGCTCCAGAACTCTTCCTCTTCTTTCTGGTGTTTTGCGAGAATATTCGCTCGCTCCTTGTTGACATTGTCCTGAAATTTGGCAAAGGCCTCCGTCGCGTATCGTTGAAAGCCCTTAAGTTCAGCGTCGTGCTTTTGTCGAAAAGTGAGCCACTGTTTGTCTGCAGCACTGACCTCGGGGGGTTTTGATGCCATGCTGAGAGTCGCAACGCGCTGAAGTCAAGGCAAAGATGTTAAATACTGTGAGGTAAGAGATTTCGTTGCGAGCGGGAGAAGGTGGGTAGATGGAGTGGTGATATACCAGCTTGGACAAGGTGAAGGTGAGTGAGAGATCTGCGCGATTGCAAACGGGACCAAGGTAAAGGCGCAACTCATGGTGACCACAGTTTTGAGGATGCGTAAGTAAGGTAAGACCTCTATGTTCATGGCTTAGGCTTGCAGGTAGAGTGCCTTGAATAATAGGTAAACGGAACGCCGAGATGCAAACGACGAGTATCCACTTTTGACCTAGTAGCTGTTTGTGACCTAGGATGCTATATAGAGAGGGATTGGCTGCGCGCAAGCCCAAAGCAATATATTAGTCCAGTGCAGTGCTTATCAAAAGATGCGTGCGCGACAGAGACTCCATCGCATCGACTCTCAGGATATCGATCCTCCTGTTCCCAATTATCATGACCCATACAAAGCGCGAGGTCGACTTCGGCTAGGTCTAATAGCCTCGCGGGCATGATTAGCCATACACCTGCTCAGTGCAAAGGCTCGCAGCTAGCTCGAAGGCTTCCGTTGCTGCCTTCCTTGTCTCAGATTTGCGTCGCTGCGAAGTGGAAGTGAGACCTTTCAGCAGTTATCTTGCCGATACTCTCCAATTAGATCGCAATAATCTAGACTGCTCTTGTGCCATTCACCGTGCACCCGGGTATAAAATGTCTCCTCGGCCTGTGGTCGTCTCCATTCTTGAATCGGTGATTCCGTGATGCTTTCTCTCCCTTCATAGATATTTCTTCGCGGCAGTCGCAACTCTCTGCCTAAACACTGGGCTCTTGATGACTTCTCCATTGCCCACGGCAAAGAAGGGATTCATAATAGTCTTGACCCATGCCTCGTATACGTCGACCATGAAGTTCTTAACAGCTTCTTCCGTGGCTGGGCTACTCGGATTGTATAGACCAGCACCTCCTCCCAAAGCAGCTCTTCCACCCGCTAGACTTCCCCTCGCGCCTCCAGCACCTCCACTCGTTAGCCCTAGACTTTCGTCCCGTGGTCTTGTGAGCAGAAGAAAGCGTGTATTGCCGCCGGTGATCCAGCACGACACGAAGCAGTTCTGGTACTTGTCGATGTGCTTCAGGTACATGGGCGCGGAGCCACTGGATGTAGAAGGGCCCCATTGCACTTCTTCAACTATATCGAGAGACGAGTGTAGAATGAACGGGACAAGGGCGCGTTCGGCGGGGGTATAGTTCGCGACACCGGTGCCGCCGCTCCGTGAGGTGCCGAAGTCGTGTGTGAATAGAGGGACATCGAGAGGCGAGAGGATGGAGAATGTGTACGACATGGTGAGGTATGAGGTTGTACGTCGGTATACGTGTGGAGTGTTTGGCGTGCGCCGCGTGGCCCAGGTAGGGATGCGTGATCTATCCTAGTACAGTCTTTCTGGCTTTCACTGATGTCGAAAATAAAGGCGCCAGGATTCGTAATTCGTATCGTCGTAAGTGTAGCTTGGGTTTAGCTGTGCAGCGTGTGGGGTGTGTTGGTGAGCTTCCCCACGCTAGTCGGCATGCCCGCCAAGAAAGTCCGCGGGAGTGCCTTTCGAAGAATATCGCGACTTCGATTGCGCAGCCCAGCATCGCCAACCCCAGCACGTCACCATGTTCGGTCCATTCCGCCTCACAAACCCGCTATCGGGTGGTCTATTATGGTGCGACTCCCTGCGTTTCCCGAACTGTCACCCGCGCTCAATTGCTCGTCGTCGCCATCACATTTCCCGCTCCGATGCACCTTCTATCAGTTGCGACTCGATATCCGGCAGCCCGTGCTGACAAAGCTATAGGAAGATACCATGGCGGCTATCCAGACATCAGAAGTACAGGCAGCGCGAGCGCCTACGGCACGTCGACACTGTGGTCGGCACACTCGATACCGCACTACGACGCATGGGACAGAGCATGAAGAAGGTGGAGCGCTGGAAGATGGAGATGCCGACCGAGGCAGAGATGCTGCCCAAGGACAAATACACCGTCTTCGACCGTAAGGTGAAGAGGTATCGAAAGGGAATACACAGTAAGTTGCATACTTCTAGTGCATTGGGACAAAGCCTGGTGGCGGCAGAAGGCGAATGAGGAATACTCGTGATAGGGTACACTCTGAAGTTGCGGTCGCTGACATTCAATAGAGGTGCCAAAGTGGACGAGAGTCAGTCAACGACTCAACCCTCCCGGTTTCTAGACAGTCCCCACTGGGAACGACGGTCGCACGTGTGTATACCATGTATTACTGTACAATTTGCATCAGATACGGCGCTATGGGAAGAAAGCAATACAAAAATCTCAAATCTGCAATGGGCTCTTTCGTGTCTTGAGTGGAAACATCTATCTGCATCGTTAGCGAGTTCAGCATCCCCCCTTGCATACGTGACGGCTATGCACGCTATCGTAGATACTCGTCTATCTTTCCGTACTCCACCACCTTCTAGGCTACTCTTTCTCCAAAACTCGCCAACTATGTCAACACTACCTAAATTATACACTCTGACAGCAGTGCAAGTACTGGAACTGCTCAAAGCCAACACCATCACAGTCGAGGCCTATGCGCAATCCCTCCTCGACCGCATCCACGACCGCGACAATATTGTGGAGGCATGGGCTCACCTCGGTGAGTCTTGCTCTGCCTATAAACACGTCTCGATCTGAGCAAATGGCAGATCAAGAGCTTGTTTTACGCCGAGCTAGAGAACTTGATCAAATACCAGAAAACCAGAGAGGACCGTTGCATGGACTGGCAATAGGCATAAAAGATGTGATGAACACGAAAGGTCGCAAGGTACAGTCCTTTGTAAGCCAGATGTTGATGACCTCCAGACATGCCTACGCAATACGGCTCTCCGATATACGAAGGACACCGATCTGGCTTCGACTCATTGGCTGTTGCCATTCTGCGATCTGCAGGCGCCCTTATCTTCGGTCTGTCAATTCACCTTCCCTATGAATGATTGTTGACGTCTCCCACAGGCAAGACAACGACAACTGAATTCTCGGTCCCTAACTCAGGACCTCCAACCGCCAATCCACACGACCCATCTCGAACCCCAGGCGGCTCTTCATGCGGGTCCGCCGCCGCAGTAGCCGATATGCAGATTCCACTTGCTCTAGGCGTCCAGACAGGCGGAAGCGTCATCCGACCAGCAGCCTATTGCGGCATCTTTGCCATGAAACCCACGTACAACGCCATCTCAACCTCAGGCCAAAAGACCGTTTCATCTACATTTGATACTATCGGCTTCTTCGCTCGCAGCATACCGGATCTGCAGTTACTAGCAGACGTCTTTTCCTTCCCTGACGACCAGCGCCCAGGAAAGGTATGCTTGGGAGATATCTCGGTCGCTCTTGTCAAAACACCCATGTGGTCATATGCCGGACCTGGTACTATAAACGCCATGCATAAAACAGCCGCGATACTGCAAAACCACGGCGTCCAAGCCGAAGAGATGTCTCTACCGGATGGCTTTGGCAACGCAGACATTCTAACGCGCTCTCAAAATGCAATCATCGACACTGAGACCGCACTCGCCTTCCGCGAAGAATACCGTTCGCACAAGGGTGATTTGAACGTCTCGATCCGGAATCTAGTAGAAAAACACTCTAAACACACCGATGCAGGAAAAGAGAAAACGGAAGCTCTGGATAAACTCGCTCATTTGCGTGCGGTATTCGACGCGATAGCGGCTCAGTATTCTGTCATCATCGCGCCGAGTGCTGTAGATGAGGCGCCGGTGGGCCTTGGTGATATGGGGAGTCCGGTTTTCAATACGCTGTGGACGGTAAGTTGACTTTGTCACAGGTGGAAGGTAAAACGTGTTTGACTTTATCCAGGGTCTGCATGTGCCAGTGGTACACATGCCTACTCTTATAGGGATGAACGGCATGCCCGTTGGTGTTTCTCTTGTTACAGGAAGAGGGCGCGATAGGCATCTTCTTCGGATTAGTAGAATTCTTGGAAAGGTTTTTATGGCAGAGGGAGGGTGGCAGTCGAAGGCTTCGGACGTTGACACGTTCTAGAAGGGAATTTGTACAAGGGCGGAGTAAATTCACATTAGGCTTAGTTGACCACGACATTGATCGATAGACCAATCGACAAAAGATCAATTTCACAGGGCAGTAGTGTAGATAAATGTAACAAGGATGAGCAGCGCGAGATTTATGCCAGGATACTAAAACTTGGCTGGCTATCTAGCTAGCCCGCTGACAGAACAACTGACATGTCTTCTAAACCCTTCAGCGAAAGCAAATGCATAATGAAAAAGATATGCAGCAATTCCACTCTTACACGCAAAACGACAACACACCGACCGACGAACCCACGAAACTAAGCAGTCTGCGTGCCCACATCAACACCCTCAACGCCCACCACAGGAGCAGCAGCAGAAGCAGGCTGAACGGGCGCTTTCCTCTCCCCAAAGTTGTGCAACCTCTCTCCTATAAGATAAACCTCATCCCTAACGACCAACCTCCATCTCACGAGCAGCCTGACAACCGCCGAGGATGCCCACATAACCACCAAAGCAAGTCCCACAGCCGGGAAGCTGAAGCGCCAGAGTAAGTTCTTTGTTGCTTCGTTCGCATTCCGATATAGCGTTCGACTCGTGACAAACGCCAGACTGGATGGCACGGCAATTGCGACGAGGAAAAGCGCGAGCACGGGAATGAGGAAACAGCGTGTCGCGATCTTGGCGTTGGGATAGAGCCAGCCATCTCTGATAACAGCTTTGAACGCACGTGCGGGCCGGGAGTTGCGGTTCGCGAAGACGAGACGCGCGGCGAGGCGAGAGTAGAGGAACCCGAGAGTCCAGTCTTGGATGACGTGGACGACGTGGGGTTCCTTGGGGCCGAGGTAGGCGTGCAGGGGCATGAGGAAGTAAAGTTCTAGGAGGACGGCGAAGAGGAAGGGGATGGCGAAGATGAGCGTTGCCCAGACGTATGAGAAGCGGAGGGCTCGGCCACCGACGCGCGAGGTGGTTGCTGCGATGGTGTGGAGTGTGGACATGGGATCTGGGATGGATCGGTTGAGCGAGGAGATGAATTTGAAGGCGTGGTAGGCGGAGTATCCGATACTGGCCAGAGTGTAGACACCGAGGGAGAAGGCGTGGATGTCGTTCATCTCAACGGTTGGTGGGAGAAAGAGCGAGAAGAGGTAGCGGCCGAAGAGGAGGGGTAGGATCGTTACGCTTACTCCTGATAGACCCATGAAGATCCATATCGTGACGATGAAGCAGAGAATGCGCACGCGGAACCATGGTGGGATGAATACCATTGACACGAGATCGGAGTTGTGCACTCCGCCCTCATTCTCTCCATCTTTGCGCACATTGTCGCGGTCGACTTCGACGAAGACAGGTTGGCCCTTGGGGATGCGAGCTTGATCGGAAGCGGGTGCACGAACGTATCGACCATCATCGCCCTCTTGCGCAGGGACTTTGTCGCCAAAGAGGAAGTTGGACAGGCGAAGGAACCCAGCGCACTTCTGGAAGCACCATTTGTAGATGGTATGCAGACCCTCGCTAGGCTTGTAGAATTTGATGATGACCGGCGTGAGGAAGTTGTAAAAGAGAAGGTCGAGCGGAAATTCCAGCGATGGTGCTTCAGTAGTCCAGTGGATTGGCAGCACGTTGGTAGTAGCACGACTCAAGGTCCATACGACACCGCCGAGGCATACAATAACGAGTGCTCCATACACAAGAGCGCTGAAGGCGATCTTGCGAAGTTGAGTCGTAACGCTACGCTCTAGGACGTCCCGAACAGGATGGAAGGTCGGATCATCTGGGTCGCGGATGAAGTAAAGCACACCCTTGCGCATGATCTTGCGGCACATGGACACAAAGAGCGCGAAGTGGAACATATAGCAGGTACCGATAAACCAATGCACGAATCCAGATGTCCAAGGACTCTCTCTCGCGAATTGCCACCGGTTGTACAGCGTAGCGTTCTGGAATAGTGGGAGCATGGCCAAGTCGAGAAGCAGCCCGCAGTACAGCGGAAATGCCAACATCTCGATACTAATGATAAGGATCACCTTGAGCACACCTCCGGCTTGTTGTAGTATATCAGAAAGAATGCGTTCGATCCTTTGTCCTTGCTGTGACGAGCTGAAAGGTGTGCCGCGCCTGAGATATATCGCACCAAGAAAAGCGAAGAACCCATAGCCAGCAAGTATTGCAATCAGGCGGTCACTCGCCGTCCATCGCTCCAATGCAGTATATGCTGCAGCGGTGCTGCTATTCGAGTCTAGATCAATGGTGATCTTGTACGATTTGGCCGTCCAAAGCCATGAGAGCAGAGAACTGCACTGACCGTAGGTAGTCGTAAAGATATCTTGAATTAACGAGGGAAGGCGTCCAAGGACCCTCAGCACAAGCTTGGGTGGCGAGTCTGCTGAAATTTCCTCGATGATGGCGTTTGCAAAGCTGCTCGTTTCATTGAGCGCAAATGAGGTCGTGTTCTGCAGGCTTCGTAGTGAAGCGTGTGCGTTGAGCGTGAATTGGGTGTAGCTGGGCTGAGACGATAATGGCGAGTCCATGAACATCTTGCCAATACGAACCATCGCACTCTCTGCAAGGGAGTATGCTGGCGTAGATACTGCACGGAGTGGACCATCTATGGTTTGTGACAGCTTCCCCAAGGAACACAGCTTGACCAGACTGGAGATGGCATAAGAACTCCAGTACGTCGTACCAGCTACGAGGAAGAGCGTGACGTCGACTATGAAGTCCGTTACTGCAGCGACTGCCTGTAGAGGGATTTTGAGGAGTTCGATAGGACTTCCCACCATTATTATGACGAACTTACCCCAGAGATAAGGAACCCATACAGCGCACGCCAATGTGCAGGTGATCAGCACGGCACTGAACAGGGCGTTCTGGAAAAGACCAACAATAGGCCCTTGCATACCAATGAGCTCAAGTATACCTTCAAGGTCTTCAGCGTCTTCAATCGCTTCCTGGTCGTTGACATCTATGCCAGCTTGTGCAGCAGCAGCAGCAACTTCAGGATCTTGGGGCGCAGCATTGCCATGATCCCGCGGCTCGTTCCCTAAGAAGGGCACAAAAGGCGCTTCGTCTGCCAGATCGCGCACAATGTGCTCATCGTTGCCTCCCTCTTCGACAGGTTGAGCCATCGGGGCTATGTCTCCAAACATCCAGTCCAATACTTGGTTCACTGGATTTTGTGGAGGTTGAGGCGCTGCTGGTTGTGCGTTGGCTGGAACCGCAGGCTGACCGTCCGGGTTTTGCTGACCCACTTCAGAATGCTCCTGATCTTCGCGGGTGGTTGAGTCTTGGTCAGGCTGGCTACTGCTGTTGTCGACTTCAATCGTAGTATCGACCGTAATCGAGTTGTCTAGATGAGTAGAACTGCTTTGTGCAGAAGACGTTGACTCGGGTAGATTATCCTCGACACTGGCGTCGACAGCCTTAGCTTTACCCTTGTCGTGAACATGTTCTCCTTCCAGCGCTTGGTCGGAGTCATCTTCTACAGCCTCAGGGACTTGCTGCCAGCTTCCACTGCTGTGCTCGCTACCCGGTTCGTGGTCCGATGCAGCCTCGGGTCCTTGATCGGCTCTTCGGTCTGCGTTGTCATCGTCTTCCCACGATTCAGGTACGTTTTCAGCACTTTCCTCGTTCGAAGCTGACGATTGTGGTACGTTCTCGAAAGACCATGTATTACCCTCTTCTAGGCCGCGACGAATCTCTGTCGCGATGAAGGATCTATCGCGTGCTGGCATGTTTGGTCTGTGCGAAGATGAAGACGACTCGGAACCTTCAAGATCTGGCGCTACGCCTGAAGGCTGGTGGAGTGACGAGGTTCTTGCAGGAAAGCTTGAGCTGCTAGCCTCGCCGTCTTCCATCATTGCTCGCTCAATAGCCTCGTTAAAGCTCTGGGATGGAAACCCATCGTCATAGGCATCCACAAGCTCATCCGATTGCATCATTGACCTCAAATCACCCGAGAGGCCTTCGCGTACGATGTTGCGAACAAGCTCGTCGCGTTCTCGGCGAAGCGAGGAAGACCGGCGAACGCGGCGTATCGTAGGTTCGGCAGCCTCGGGCTCATCATTCTCGTGAGCGAAATCTCCAGAGGCAATTGGCTCGTTATGGTCAGTATTTTCAGGTTCATGAGCTTCTTCCACATCTGCGGCCTCCCCAGCCACTTCGGCGTCCAAAGCATCTAGAGCGTCTTCCAGCTCGCCCTCATCAACGACCACATTGTCAACGAGAGCCTCCTCTTCTATGATGGCAGCCCTCTGCGCAGCATCGTTATCACCGAGGGCAACCATATTGATGACAGGTTGTTGCTGGACCACCCACTCCCGAATCAGGAAGACAAGGATAAACGCCACGACAACGAGTAGAGTGATGATCTGGCCCTCTATCACGTCAACAATAAAGCGATTGGCGCTTTGAGACTGGAACCAGTTGAAGAAGGGGACATCGGAGAGAAGCGACGGACTGCGAACACCGAGATGGTCTGAGGTAGTATTGGAAACGGTGCCGTTCTTGTCAAGGACAGATACGTGAGTAGTTATTCTGTCGGGTTGTGCAAGCTGGGAAAAGGGGAATGGGACCCCGAAGAAGACTCGTTTGGCATAGGTCCAGAGGATGGATTCGCTAGTCGTGGAATTGTTTGGAGTATAGGTTATCTTCATGGGCCCGACGGTACTTGCCACATGCACAGTCGAGTTGTTGCTCTTGGCGGTATCGAGTGCAGAGCGTATCAGGTCGATATCGCTAGGGGCCAGTCCTCTACCGGTCGCGGGCATTACTGACGTCTCAGGTGT